ATCTACGGTCCGTCATGGCCGACCTGCTTTACACTCCCAGCAGAACTGAGCCACCCGAGCTATCGATCAACACCTGACAGCGTATGTATGTACACTCCAACACGGCTGCAACACGTCGTCAGCCTCGCGTATAGAGGTTGGTACACGCGGCCGAAGCTCGGTGCTTCCTGATAACGTACAATCAAAGGAAGACTGCCTATTCGAGATAATACCGCAGCAGTCAAAAGGGATGTCTTAAAGTCTTTACAGGAGTGAGTGGGAACGGGCTGGATACCGGGCTTGCTCAGGGTCAGAATTTTCTTCGAACCCTATCCCTTGCATTCTTCATGACCGTATTGCAGCACACGCTTTATTTACCTGGTGAACTCTGAATTTTTCGCGCTTTGGTGTGGAAATGGAGGTATCAAATGTACCCTGCCATGCCCTAACATCGTATTTACATACCTCTCTGGGAAACCGGACGATTCAACCTCTCCTTCGCCCTCTATCATCGGTGGTGTGCTGGAGGTCTGTTGGCTGAATCAGGGCGGCGGGCGAATGGGGCCGGGCGAATGAACACGCGGGGGAACTAAATGGAAGGACATGAGGATGAGGGCGGGGTGAGGGGTATGGGGCACACATAATCCCTCTCCGTGGGCCCCCTTCCAAATGCTCTTGCGCTGTGTGTGTGGTGCGGCTCTGTCTGGCCACCCACATAACGCGTCCCGCAGCACAGCACCACTACAAGCAGTACCAGCACAAAGATGGCCACCGCTTGCGATATTTCGTTCGATGAGATGGCCATGGCCTTGAGCTACATTTCCCTTGGTGGCACCGCGGCGGCACCAGCGAGCTCCGCGCGAGGGTTGCCATCCTTGGCACCAGTGAAGCAGGAGAAGAAGGCCGCCAAGAAGCCCGAGGCGGACGACGATGTGAGAAGAGAAGACAGTCTCTCGTCTTGCATAGGTTGTTGATGCCCGGGGGTGATGTTGGCTGATGCGTCGGTCCGGTGTCGCCATTGGTAGGGTTTAGGCTCGCCCCGCGGTCAACTCTGCTGAACTTCTTGTGTGTGAGAACATGCGGGTCGACGTGTGCACCTGCACTAATATAGGCTATCCCTCGGTCCGTTTCGCGGCTGATCATCCTCTCTGGCATCTATGATGCGAAGCTGGAAACAGTAGCAGCCGTGGATCAGCACGAAGCAGAGGATATTCAACTTTTCCCGCTTACAATCGTACACCTGTGCAAGTGTCTGCTGCCCGATGATTCGGCGTGGACAGCAGTGCATTGCGTAAGATACCACACCCCTGGGCCGATTTTCACAGCTCGAACCACACTTGACCCCCTCTGTACACTCCACCGCCGTGGAGGATGCCAAAATCTAAATGATGTGTACCCTGTCGGAAAGCCGTCGACGAGACAGCAGTTCCGCCGCAGCCGTGTTCGGCATCGTCACCATTACGGTGCGAGGTAATCGAGCTTCGAAATCGGTCCGGGAGTCCCGGAGATGTGGTGTTGTACCGGTTTGGCGACGTCCTTGTATCATGGGTACTCTCATTAGCTGCTCCCAAATCTAAGGTCTTTCACGCAACCTGACGAGCTAAACACACAGCACCATTTACAGAATTTCCGCTTTTCCCCCTCGGGTAGGTTTGCAAACCAATTGATGAGAGCAGACCGAACTCTGTGTGTCCTCAAAGAAACGTGCGTGGGTGCGTGGTTTTTATTCGACACTCATGAACCATGCAGCGTAGACAAGTACATCCATCCATCACAGGAAGACTGGTATAGAAAAATACCCGCTTCCGAAAATCCTTCCAAGGGTACGTATTGTTCCTCCGCATTCTTTATATCGACAGCGGTAAGGATTGGGAGGAATCTGCCTTAGATAGAATATATGGCAAGTATGTAGGCTCTCTCTGAACTATCTGGCACGGCGACGAAGCCAACGCATAGAATCCCCCAACGCACCCGCCCCAGAAGGAGAGCACAAACGAACATGCAACAAACGCCGCTGCCCAGCCGTCTCCCCATGTACCGCATGTTTTTTGTGGCGTTGTTCTTGGCTGCGGCCCCATGCTCTGCTGTGTGTGCTGATAATTGCTGTTTGGCTTTGTTGGAGCTATGTAGTTCGCGGCTCTCCGGCCTCATCCACGGGTGTGTGCTTGTTTCGCGACCGACCTTTCCCTGGTCGGCGTACTTTTTGTCTCCGCGGGGTAGGTGTCGTGGCCTCTCACTCCCGGGTTCCGGCTGTGTTTTTCTTGATTCAATTTTAGTGTTGACAAAATTCGAGGGGGGCCCGGTTTAACGACTCCTATTATTATATTTAGTGTCACGACGAAATGTGGCGGTGCAATGTGATTTTGGGGTCGCTAAACAGGGCGCTTAACAGGGGGTCGCTCAACCGATATCCCCACTGTACTCAAGACAACAAATCGATCTCTATCCGTGGATAAGGGTCTAGGATTCAATTTGCAATGAA